TAGGTTGGATATTAGGAAGTGATTTTTCATGTAGAGAGTAATCAGTCATTGGAATGGGCTGCCAGGGGAGGTGGTGGATTCACCATCCCTGGAGGGTTTCAAGACGAGTCTGGATGTGGCACTTAGTGCCATGGTCTAGTAACAATGGCAGGGCTGGACTCAACGATCTTTGAGGTCTCTTCCAACCCATCCGGTTCTATGATTCTCTGGTGTTACTGTTAATATTCAGCTGGCATTACTGGAGAGGTTTCAGAGCAGCCTTTTGGGAAGTAAAATTATTCTAAAACAAATTACTTTGGCACAACCACAGCTCAGCATAGGCCCTAGCTGAGCTCTGTACAGACACAATGACAGAACATGGACAGCACACAGACTAGCTCAGACTATCTATACCTCCTACTGCAACATATGAGATTGGCCACTAGAAGAGAGAGTATCAACAAACTGCCTGCCTGGAGTCATCCAGCACAGTATGATGTTGCTACATGCACAAAAAAAGAAGACCTCTGAAGGTCTTTCCTCATCCTTTGACCTTGACACAGATCTCAGTAGCCTTAAGTTTCTTTCAGGCTTTTACCCTGCCCACGGGAATGTGACTTTTGGACTTCAATACTTGTTCAGAACCATACTTCAAATATAGAGGCACAGGCAGAGCTACTGCACTTCATTAGCTTTTTGTGCCTGCTTTAATCATAGACATCTATTACAGAGGAGATTTTTCTAGACATGACCCTTCTGTTTTTCAGCCCAGGTCATACACTTACATTTATTGTCACCTCTAACCTCAGGGCAGGCAGATTCAGGCTCGGCTAGGCAGAAATACAGGGAGCTGCATGACTGACTAAAGGTACAGACAGTGCAGGTAATCAGCAACATAATTCTATATTGGAGTAAGGCAGTAAGTCATTCTGGGGAAAAGTCTGTCAAAACGGGCTTGTGGCATAGATGGGACAAAGCCATGACCAGTGAACTTGTGTTTGAGTGCAAACTGAATGTGGACTAACAGCCCCCAAAGAACTAATTTAGAAGTGGAGAACTCATGCCACCTTGTGGCTACCATCCCGTCCAGAAAAACAGGGTAACCCAGTCAACAGCAGAGAGCAGTAGCAGAACTGGGTCATTAAACGATGATGGCAAAGCTCAAACACCCTCTTTGTTTCTTTCAGTGCAAGCAGGCTGAGCGAAGACGCACGCAGCAACGCCCGCAGGAAATACAGCGCTGTGAACAGCCTCAAGGACAGGTGGCAAGAATGGGCTGACCAGCACATCATAACACAAAAGCTGAATCCCTTCAGCGAGGAATTTGACCACGACCTGGCCATGTCCACGCGCCTGCACAAAGGAGATGAAGGATATGGCCGCCCCAAGGAAGGAACCAAAACTGCTGAAAGAGCCAAGAGAGCTGAGGCCCATATCCACCGGGAGATTAGGGACATGTGCTTCATCATCGAATCAATGGCTAAGCCACGGCCTGACGGCAAGATCCAAGTCACTTTTGGCGAACTCTTTGAGAGATACGTTCGTATTTCAGATAAGGTTGTTGGGATTCTGATGAGAGCCAGGAAACACGGGCTGGTGGACTTTGAGGGAGAAATGTTATGGCAAGGAAGGGATGATAATGTCATAATTACTTTATTAAAATGAGCATGCTATAACCAGAACAACTTTTGTAAAACTTCTCCCTTTCTCCCTTGCTACTAGCATTTGCACATTTTGAATACAGGATTGTGTTCACCCACATAGAAAAGACATTGAGCATTTTTCTAAATATGTGTTTTATAACTAGTGCATGATAACTCAGGCATCCAAATGGATTTTTTTCTGTACCAGAAGGGCTTGCAGGACACTTAAGTTAATTACTACATCGAAAGTATTGAATACAAGAGACTGATTATAAAAGTCCATAGCAACATAAATAGCTACAAATTGATTCAAATTTCTACTTCTTACATTCAAGATCTTCCCAGCTATTTATAACTGGAATATCAGGAATATGAAACATGCCAGAAGTTAAATGACAATATAATCTCAGATTAAGTTTTAGAACTGTGTAAGTGATCTTGTGCATGTATTTCCTAATTAATTTATTTAAATGCCTGTAAAATTATTTTGAATACAGAATTAAGGATATCACATTTCTTTATTTTGCGAGTAGGATACACAACTACTAATGCAGTATTATGTTGTGGCAACTATTTGACACAGCTTCCTCTTATATTTCACATACAAAATAATTTTTATAAATGGGGGTTTATGTATTTATTGATTTATATATCTAATTTATTAGATAGTTTCATATTTAGAGTTATGAATGTTGGAGAGAAAACACAATATAATTTAATGAACCAAAGTTTTGGCTAGATAGCCACTTAGAAAAAGATTTCTATACAATGTATCATCTGATTATCTATGTAAATATGGTTCTTATAAATACAGGGGGAATTAGTATGTAACATATAAAAACTAGTCAGGTACTTCTGTGTATAGCAAAAAAGTAACTAACATCATTATCTTCTATTGAAATGTACCTCTGTGAGAAAAGATAGAGAAACAGTGTTCCTAACTTTAAGGAAAATGTTATTTCATATTACACAGAAACACTGACCTAATTTTACAGCATTTGCCATTCTGATATCACTGAACTAATATATTTCAGCCCAAGTGATGCTGAAGAAGAGTAAATACTAAGGAACTAATACTTCTGGGTCTTAAAATTGTTCATATTATTCACAAATCTGAGACCTCTAAGGTCTCTAATGCTTACAGGATTATACAGATCACTGTTTCTCTATTGCAAAAATAGCTGTCCTGGTAAAAATGCATGTGCTTCACATGGAAAGCATCTGTTTCCGAGCAAGATGCCTGGGCAAGCTGCATAATGAAAAAGAAAGTGGTTCCCCCCCCCCCAATAAGATTCTTTCAAACTGAAAGAGCAAATATCTTCTTACAGAAGAAAAGGTGTATGAACATCTTGTCTCTCTGATAAAACAGACATTGCTGTCTTATTATGAGTACAGATACTCAAATTTGAAGCTCCAATATACAAATAAATCAAATATTTTATAAATTAGTGATAAAAGAACAGACTACTATGTCTATTGTAAGCCTGTGTAAATCATTAATATTTTAGGCATAGTTACATGTTGTGACTCTAAGGAAGAAAAAATTACTTCTAAGATGGATTCAACAGAACTTACTCAATCATGTTTTTTTAAGATTTCTCAGACTACTCAAGCTGACCTACATAGTTGACCTCTAAGTGTTATATATTGTAATTTTTACCTTCATATTCTTAACTTATTCTTCATGCCTTTATATCATGACCTTCACAGCTGTCTAAATTGTCTTGACAAAATTTTGTTGTCAAAGGGATACACAAACTATAAATAAAACTTCTACTTATTTCTTGGGTTATTTTCTCACACATTAGAAAATAAATACATGTGCATTTTTTGTGAAGTAAAATAACAGTAAGTTTTTTCAAAAATGTAAGTACATTCTCCTTTTCACGGGCTGTTAAAGTATGTCCCTGTGAAGATTTCTCTGTTCAAAGCACCAAAGATTTCAGGGTACATGGAAAAGAAACATTCCTTACACAATACCTGTACAAAGAACACACACTAAAGGCACGTAAGTGTTAAATGGGTTACATATTTCTGCTCATGAGAACTCTCATCCCACCACAGAACAACACAGCAGAGGTACAGCTCACCACGGGTGCTCCTTTGAGTGTTATATTCTCGTGTGACTTAAAGACCAAGAGCACCTCACTATTGTGTGAGGAATCAAGGAATTTTAGGGGTTGGAATAGACCTTATAGATCTAGTCCCAACCCCCCCTGCCCTGGGCAGGGACCTGCCCACTAGACCAGGATGCTCAGACCAGATCCAGCCTGGCCTTGAACACCACTAGAGTTGGGGCAGTCACCATGTCCCTGGGCAACCTGTTCCAGTGTCTCACCACCCTCACAGCAAAAAAACTCTTTACTATCTAACCTAAACTTCCCCTCCTTCAGTTTGAATCCACACACCTGCTTTCATTCACTGACCCAAGACAGTAGGTGTGATATACTTCTGGAAACACTCAAACCATAGCATACCACTAAGTGGTTCATTTCAATATTCTGCCTGTTTACAGCATATAGTAAGAGCTTCTGCATTGATACAAAGTCTATGCCATCTACCACCTGCAGGGAAACACTTAAGAGTACAACTAGGCATGTACTGCTGAAGTATGAATCAAAAAAACACCTTCCTGGCTTAGGCCTTGGCCAACAGAATAGCCTGGAGAAACCTCAGAGTAAATTATGTTTCTCTATTTCTTCCTACATATTGAATAGGAACATAAAACTGCGAGTGCCTCTTCTACTCTATCTTCTACTCTCTGAGCATTGTTCTAATGGAGAAACCATTACACAGAAGGAAGACAGCAATTGTTGCCAACAATTTTCATTCACATGAGAGCCATCTCTGGCTTATTACATGCCTACTGTAGAATCCCAGAAGATAAGGAGCTAATGTGTATGTCTCAAACACTGATAGCCGGACAGCTGTGGAGCCAACCAAGGATTGTTGTTAGTAACAGATGAGAATTGTTGATAATAACATGCCGTGGGAAAGAACAAGATGTGGCTGGAGATGGGGGCCAGACAGAGGTAGCACAGCACTTTTGTGGGACAAACACCCTTGTTCTAGATCTTGGAGACAAGCACAACACAGTACAGGGCAAGCACAAGAATGAGGTCAAGAAGTGGGCATGGACTGCAGGGGGTAACAAGATCACCCAAGACTCCCAAAGCCCTCAGACCCATTTCCAGAAAGTTCTGAAAGAATGGAGTGCACAAAACTCATTTGCATACAAAGTGGGAAACTTATCTTCAGAACCAGGAAAACCTGCCTATAAAAAGGCATCCTCACTAAGCCTGGGTATGCACCCCATGACCCTGGACATTCCATTAGCTGGACTAACACGAACCAGGATTGGTCATCTCTTTATCTTTCCTTTTCATCTAATCCCTTTATCCAAAACCCACTGCTGTGTGCTTAAAAACTCTGAGCCTTTGCAGACCATCTGACTTTTGTCGTTCCTTTTGACCACGAACATCTACAGATCTTGGCTGCACTCTTCCACTTAAGGGTGGGACATCACACCTACTGACACAAAAAGGCTAGGCTGACTGGACCACCAGCAGATTCAGTGCTGGCATTTTACTGTTCTTCTCCCATATGATGCAGGGAGGCAGACAACACTGACTGGATAACCTGCCAGCATTCTCAAACATAACCATCTTTCTCCAGCTTCATTAGGGCAGGTTCAGCATCTACTTTGGAGGCAACAATTGCTCCTGACCCAGTCCTAACATCTAAAATGTTGGTACATCTTCATCTGTATTAATGCTGTGATTCATAAAAGTCATCCACTTAAGTTAAATATCAATAATCAGTTGCTTGCAAATGTTTTTCTGCAGGCTCCTGTACACCCACCAGAAGTCACCATGGATGACTATGCTTTAACAGTTTCATGTAATGCCTACACTAATACTGTAGGCAAGAGAGGCAAGGCCAGACTCAGCTGCAGAGCAGACTTCTCAGCTGAACTGCATGTAAGTCAGTGACAGAGGAGATGGGAAACCTTCCCATTTTCTCCTTTATGGAACATAGCAGAGAGAACTGAAAGTCTGCAACCTTTATTCAAACATATTCAGCAACAGAACAGACCAACGGCACTCCCTGAATTCCAGCATTTCATTTAACAGATTAACAGAACATAGAATACCAGAAAAACATGTCCCCAGGTGCCACATCCACAAATCTTTTAAGTCCCTCCAGGGATGGTGATTCCACAACTTCTCTGGGGAGCCCAATTCAATGCTTGACAACCCTTTCTGTGAAGAAATTTTTCCTAACACCCAATGTAAACCTCCCTTGTGCAAGTTGAGGCCATGTCCCCTTGTTCTACTGCTTGTTACTTGGGTGTAGAGACTGGCCCCCACTTCACTACAACCTATTTTCATGAAGTTGTAGAGAGCAAAAAAGTCCCTCTGAGCCCCTGTTTCTCCAGGCTAAACACCCCCAGCTCCCTCAGCTGCTCCTCGTAAGACTTGTGCTCCAGACCCTTCATCAGCTCTGCTGCCCTTCCTTGGACACACTCCAGCACCTCAATGACTTTCTCATAGTGAGGAGCCCAGAACTGGACACAGGATTTGAGGTGTGGTCTCACCAGTGCCAAGTACAGGGGGACAATCACTGCCCTGGTCCTGCTGGCCACACTATTTGTGATACAGGCCAGGATGCCCTTGGCATTGTTGGCCACCTAGGCACACACGTGGCTCGTGTTTGGGCGCCTGTCAACCAGCACCCCAAAGAACAACTGGTCTTACTACAAAAGATTGAGACAAAGAGGGTATTAATTACCTCAGCCTTTTCCTCATCCTTTGCCGCTGTTTCCTCCCACATCCATTAAAGGATGGAGATTCTCTTTAGCCCTCCTTTTGTTGCTGTGTTTACAGAAACAATTATGTCACTTTGCATATTGGAAGACCCATATATATATATATATGTGCATTTATACTTACCATGTAGGATAAAAACAAGATTATAGGTTAGAGGAAGGTAACATTAGATCAATTATCATTTGAAGGAAATAAAAGACTAGCCTACAAAGCTCACAGGCCATCTTCAAATCTGTCCTTGCCTTTAATTCCTTGAATCAGCTGTGTAACAATGTAATCACTACTATACATCATAAATGTACAGGTCACTGCAGACGGCCTAAGTCTTCCATTTGGTCATCCCCATGCAATATTAAAAAACATGCAGCAACAGAAAGAAAACCAACCAAACAAACTAAACCCAACCCCCCCAACTTTTCCCATTTTTCCACCCAAAATATTTTATTTCTAATTGGACGAGAAAACCACACATGTGATAACTAAATTTTTACCATACTATCCTGCATCACTTACCTTTGCATAGGCAGCATTGTACAAAGCCTTCTAATTTGTGAAAAGTATTTTCCATTTTTGTGGAAGACAAATGTTAAATATCGATATAATTCCCGATGTTTTGAAGCATTACATGTAGGTTATATGCTTCATAACTTTTTTTTTATGTAAAGTTCTGTGACAAGTTTATCCATGGAAAGCAGAATAAATCTAAACTTGGTAAAAAACAATGAAAGAAAAGTACTCCATGAATTGCCCAGTCTAACTCTCCCACTATACTGTGTTACATTCCTGTGAAACTAGTGTGATCTCTGCCAAATTTAAATATTCTAAGCAAAGATGATAAAGGTCAATACCTGCTTCATTAAAACAGTCTTCATATATTTTTATTTAAGATCTGCTTTCCTAGTTTTAACTTGCTTCAAAAAAAAAAAACCCTTAACCTTTGAGACAGCAACTCTTAGTTACTCTCATGGTAGCTTATAGCTCCACATTATTTTCTTAAATATTGTCTTCACCCCCCAAATGTTTTATCTGAAACGTATTTCCATCTGATAATAACAGATCTACCCTGTTTACCTGTCTGAGGTTAGCGGTGCTTTTGCAGGGGTTGTATAGTTTGCTAGGAACACAAGCACACTTTCTCGGTATTGAAAAACTTGTCTCATCTTCTGTAGTAACTGAGGTGCATTTCTCATATTCTGAACATAGCTTTCATGCTTAAGTGACAGCATGGAATTTGTATCCAAAGAAATAAATTACACCCTTGTACTCTTTCAAGTCTCACCATGGTTGTGTCGTGGCTTGAAGCAAGTGGCTGGTTTACTGGATGTGTATTCCACATAGTAGAAATCAGCTCCTTCCTCCACGTCAGTAATTCCTTCTTTAAAAGTGCTTCTGTACAGCCAGGGCTCAGTATTACAGCTCACTTTTAAAACAGGGGAAGGCTATTGAAATAAAATTAGCTGCAGTAGAGAGCGTAACATGGCCATATGTTCAATCATCACTGATCATACAACAAATGCTGGCAAGCCCTGTTCCCACTGCACCACACCAACATCTCAACTAAAGCCACTCTTGCCACCACAGGGCACACAGAGTAATTAGCATTCAACAGCACGTGTATTAGCACAGTAACTAACTACTAACACAGAAAACCAACAAGGATTACGAAGCTTGTCAGATTAGCAGGACAGTAGAAAGCGAAGCCTAAACAGACCTGGCAGTGGTGATTCTGCAGCAAGTCAGCCAGCAGGATCACTTGGCTTTGCACATACTACACCAAGCGTACACCATACACTCAGCTGGACCATCCCTCTCTGCTCCAGTACCAGTGTAGCTCTGTTGCATTGCAGTACCACGTACTCTTAAGGGGACAAAGATTAGAGATTTGTTCTCTTAACTGAGCTCCCTACTGCTGTGACAACAATAAATACCCTGATGACAGCTGCTCTTTTACAAAGGAAGAACACAAAAGTGAGATTTAAGATTCAAGTGCTGAATGAAGAATACAAGATTATTATTTTTTTAAATCTGAAGCTGAAGGAGTAATCAATGCTTTTTTTTTTTTCAAACAGTGGAGTTTATGCAGACATGATAATTCCTGTACAAAAAAATCAACCTAATGCAATATATACAGGTGAGTGGGAGGATGCAAGCACAAATCATGTGATAAATCATGACTTTTTGCAGATCACACAAAAGCAGTAATTAACATAGACAGGATTTAGAGTTGAAGATGTATGGTAAGAAACCCAGGTATCCAAGCAAAACATCGAGTTACTCAATCTATCCAAGTATGTATGCTGAGACACAGTCTTCTGGCACTGAACTCTTGAAAATATACCTCATAAGCCTTCAGTGTATGCCAAACCTCAGCTCTTTACAACCACAGAAGCAAACCTTGACAGGAAAGATGGAAAGGAATTCTACTGCAGAAAATTCATATAGAATTCAAGGCAGGAGGTACATCAAGACAGGACCTTTGATCTCATCTACACAATCTTTTGTGTGTCAGAGATGTTAACTACATTTCTGGTTAAGAAAATTCATGGTCTTCCATTAGTAGACAAGCATTACTCTCTGCAGATCCTTCACACAGCTAGTCACATCACTAGCTGTGATGCCACAGTCATTTATGCTTTAACTCAAAGGTCCTCCTATTCCTTAACTAATGTAGTATTTTACCAGCCTGATTTCTACTGTAGTGTTTACTATACATTATTCTTGATGTCAACTTTGTCTTCCCATGTGCATTTCCAAGACTGCTCCAATACTTGGGAGACATTCAGCTACTGAAGATTTTTCTGTGCTTTCATTTAATTCTTCAAAATATAATTCCTTATAAAATTCTTCACACTTTAAGAATCTAAAATAGGCTTTAGTTGCAATAAGAGCTTAGGATAGAGACTAAGCAGTTGAATTAATGGGTTTTGTCAGCAAGGATGACCTGAGACATTTTCCACCCCCCTTTCCTCTTAAATATGGCTGAAGACAGCATATTTTACCCTCATCGCTTCCCACTGGCTTTAAGAAAACCCACTCCAAAATCCCCCAAAAGGATGAGCAAATGCATCCTATATTCAGTTACATGAACAGCAATAATCTGCATTTGTGCTTCTAGGAAAACTCCAACTTCTAAATAAACTCCAACTCAAGTTTATTTTTACATATATTTAGATTTATTTGCTATACATCACTGTGACCTTATGTGTACTTAAAATCCAATACAGGATTTTTTTTTTGTTGTAATAATCAGTTGTAACTCCACAAAGACAATAATACTGCTGTGGAAGACCAAAGGGGAGAAATGCCATTTCAATTTATTTACAGTTCCTTATTTTGTAAACATTTACTCTACACATTGTACTAAGTTCTAATAAGGATAAAGAGCTATACATAGAGACAGGAAACAAAGCCCTGTTTTTCTATTCATATTGAGCATTAGCATATTATAGATGAAACATCTGCCCTTTCTCATTACCATAGCAGTAAGCTGTCTTCAAATAAGGTTTTTTCGAACTTTCCAGAGATGTAAATATTTTGAAATAATATACAACTACATCTACTTAAGCCAACCCGTTTGGCTTTTATTCCATTTCTAGAATAATTTAAAGTGCTATAAGCAACCCGTCAATCAACACTTTTCTATAATAACAAAACTACTTTAAACATTAATTTACAAGATAATATACAATGTTCATCTGAAATAGCTGAAATTTCAGCACAAAGTCAGTCACTGTCACACTTAACAGCAATTTTTTTGTTTTGTTTTGTTGGTATTTTTGCAGAACATAGAATAAAAGCTTTGAAACAAACAGTTTTGTTGAGCTGTTATTGCCACAACGGCTTATCAATTTTCCTACAAAAGTGGACAAGAGCTACTGGAACTGTATTCTAGCCTGTCATTTTTTTCTGAGGTCACATGACAGTAAGTTTGCATATTCCACGAGTCTACTGAATTACAATATTTTCTACCTATAATACATTATGTCATTTTAATCAGAGCTGGTGCTAATTGTAAATTTACAACATAGACCCACTCAAAAACATCACAAGTATTTTTTTCTTTGGACAGGAATAAGCTATATTCTTGGAGCTGATGTGCTACACGGCTACAACAGTATAACAGTATATATCTTTATGTTGAAGAAAGATGCATCTGTTTCTGTACTTTTAATGCCCTACTATAGCTACAAATTGTTCACTGAGTTTTGCTTGCTTTAGCCTTTTAATTTTGTGGAACAATCATATTCTTACATTCTCTTGCTATTACAGAAGTCCTTGCCACGTAGCTCAATATTGTCAGTATTTGTCCCAAACCCGCAGATCATTAGCAGCATGTGCAAAACACTCTTTAATACAACCAGCATGCAGCTACAATACATGTTAACAGACTTTTTCTAAACATGAACAATAAACAAAACGAGTGGCACTGTTGACTTTGGATATCTTCTAACTTCATCACGTGTGTACTGGGATGTGTTAAGAAGGAATGCTCAGCTTCTCACCCATTTGTGGCACCACATGAATAACCCACCACTGGTCTGGACCAATCTGCAGTGCTGCTGCCAAATACCCACACACAGCTTTCTCATAGGTCCACAGAGGGCAACTTCATTCATAGACATAATTTGAATACAAAAATAATAACCTATATTCAATGAAGCAGTCCCCTAGCAGGATTGCAGAAAGGTGTGTGTGGGAAACCTGGGAGGCAACTGTAATATGGATAAGAAAACTCTGTAGGCCACAAGGCTCAAAGTAACTAATGTTAATTTTTAGTCCACACGGTCAATATTTTGTAGAAGTGTCTACAGCTTAGTAAAAAGTATGACAGCATATTACAGATGTGAAAGCATGAACAAAAGTCTGCTATTTAAAAATAACCAAAAAAATATCAGAGAAGTAAAATGAATTATACTGCTCCTAGGAATTTTTAAGCTGCACTGATTCATGTCAGGTTTGGGACAATACCCTGTAGAAATAGTTAAATACTCATTCAAAAGCCCATATTTCTATGTCTTGAATAATGAAGTCTTCTCGCTTAGAAAGTGTGTGATTCCCAAATGTTTTACATGAATGACTTCTTCCATGGTAGAGATCACCATCGAGCCAAAGAGCAAACTCCCCTCTGCAAGACAGACAATGTATTAAAGCTAAAGACTGAGGGAGCAAACACTAAACTTAGGAATATATTTTTCATTCAGAATTCAGGAATGAGAAGGAATTACAGAACTCTTTTTAACACAAGTACCTAACTGCTGTTGACAAATTCATAGCTCCAAAGATTTTATTTATTTTTTTTAACTAATTATTCATCTCAGAATATCCCTCTTTAGATATTCTGAAGTCAAAAGATAACAAGAATGCCTTGGTTTTCAGCTTCTTCCATTTTTGTTAGGAAGAAGACATGTAGTCTCATGTAAAAAGAATGTTGATAACAAATAAGGGAAACCTCCCAGAAGCTTATGCACTTGCATGGGGGAAAAAAAGGGAGTGAGACAGTGTAATTTCTGAAGACATGGCTTTGTCTTGGGATGGAACTCTTTCAAATTCAGGCCTCTTCTAGTTACATGCAATTTTCACATTTACATACTTTCAGAACCATAGTATCTTGTGTCCACTCTGAATACAGCAAGACACACATGCAAACTGAGCAAGGAAGGCATCATAACCTTGCAGAGCTGAAACTTTCTGCCACACTGTGCAGAAGACAAACTTCCTGTATAAGTTCCTTCAACATCAGAAGGTAAACATCTGACATGGCAAAGCTTTCTTGGCTGGTAACTCTTGAGTCCTGAGCTAACAAACTGAATTAAAATTTCAGTTTTGCTTTACAAAGGTGTGCAGACATACACACTTTTAACAGATACTAATGTCAACTCACCCTCCTCCACCAAAAGCAAGGGAGTCCATGTCTCCTTTAATGAAGAACATGTTGTCTCCTGTCCATTTGAAAACCTAAGAGAAAAAAACCACAGAAAATAACAAAACCTAAACAGACTACCAAGCAAAAACATCTGAACTTTTCACTTGGGTGCAAGGGAAACCAGACGTCAGTAAAGACAGGCTATGAGTGGCTAGAGGCCAGTTTAATGAAGTTACAAAGTTTACACAGAAAATTCAGGGAACAGATATTTGCAGATAAAAATTTTCTTAGGTTTTACACTAAGTAAAATAAGATCATTGCAAAACAGGCTGCCTTTGAGCACTGAAACTTCTATACAATGAAAAATACTAAGAAAATATGTCTAGGTCAGATTAATGTGCCCTTTAAAAGGATATAGTTTGTGAATTTTCAGACAGACACCTGGAAGAATTCACAATAGTAGAAAAATCTTCAATACAATGTAAGAGTCAGGTTGAGTATGTTTTTCACTATGCAAACACAAATTTACTGTGCACTTATGGATTCCATGGGAAAACTAGTATGATGACATTTTTGGGACAACTCATAGTATTTTTCAGATTTATTGCTAGATTCATTCAGTAGATATTTTAAAATAACGCACATGGGAAGAAAGAAAAAAGCAAAAGCATACAAAGTTATTACTACTTACCTCAAAATCTGGAGAGAAAGTGAACATAAAGGTCTCCCCAGTGCCATAAAAGCCATCACTCACTTTAAATGGTTCAGATGCTAATGCACCAAAAACCTGTAGCAAAAATACACAAGAGCAAGGAAAACATAAGAGAACTGCAGGGCATCTGAGAATATCTAATGATAGCAACTGATAAACAAATTAGACTGTAAATGTTGCCAGATCTGAAATTCACTACAGGAGGAGCCTTACTTTATATCATGGTTCGAAGTGCATTGAGATACGGTGTAATTTAAAAAAAATAAGCGGACTCAATAAAAAGTGAACACAGCAAGAAAAAAATCTAATGGATATCAACTCAGGAAACTCTCAGAAACAAGGCAGATATATTTAAAACTTCAGACCAAAAGGCCCTGCTCCTTCTTAAGTAGCTCCTATTCCACTTCAACTAGGCTATTTTCAGCAAGTTTCTAGCTGTAACTGAGCTATTTTTCATGCAATATATTAATTCCAATCCAACTAACAGGTAAGCAATGGTTACCCTGTCTTACAACATAGATTTTAATACAAGGACAGGATGTCATCCAGAGGGACCTGCACAAACCTGAGAACTGGGCCCATGTGACCCTTGTCAGGTCCACAAGTCCAAATGAAAGGCCATGTACCTGTGTTAGGGCAATCAGAGACATAGAAGTACTGACTTAGAGATGAACAAATGGAGAGCAGCCCTGTGGAGGATGACTTAGGGGTTCTTGTGGATGAAAAGCTGGACATGAGCCACTGTGTGCTCACATTTTGTTGAAGTCAAGCATTAATCTCATGCAATAAACTCTTATTAATTTTTTTAAAGTATGCACAGTGGCAAACAATCAGTTTGATGCAGGTAGTACTGTACATTTTACCAGTCACTGTTCAGACTCCATTGTCAAAGAGCAGAAGAGAAGTAGGACTTAAATACTGAACTTCCTTTAAGTCACAGCAATTTACAGAAGCTTCCCCATATTAGTATTGCTACTTTTAATTTTTTTATATTATCTACTTTAAAAACAAAATATCACTATGCTGACAAGTTTCTTTACTTGTGTAAAATGGTTCCATTAGTTCAGTGACGAGAATTACCTTTGAGCATACATGTGACCAATATTTATACCCTAAAAATCTCATTCTCTGGAGGAATCTTTAAACTTACTTGACAAGGCGATGAAATACAATATCACAGTCAGCTAAAGGTGTTCACTTTTCAAAGACCTGTATCAGTTTCAGACACTGTTAAACAGCAAATTAGTTGAGAGTCTTGAAGATCATGAACTAAGGTACAAGTTCCTATACCTTTGTTTTAATGCAAGTTCAAAGGAAAATTAGCACAATAACATGGGTTTTTTTTTTCCCTTGACAGAGACATTTATTTCATTCAACATCTAGTGTCAAACACTGATAAGGTATCTCTCTACTATCTCACAGTCTCAATGTCAAGAACAGACTTAAGAGAGAAAGCAACTACTATTTATGTTTTTGCTTTCTGGGAAAAACACAACAGGTCAGAACAAAATGAACTGAGCTTTTTTGTGATACTTTGCAGAAGGCTTTTTTGCTTTGCCTTTTTTTTTTTTCTTCCTATCTATTTTTCTATTTAAAGTAGGTTTGAGATGAGTCCCCAATATTCTTAAGACCTACATATTTCAATACTTATCTATTTTTTTAGCGCATTACTGGTTAGATGGCCCCATGGGTCAGAGAAAATGCAAGTGAGAGTTGGCCAAGTGTAACATCCAACACTGAATTTGTAGTACGACACGAACAGAACACTAAATGATCAAAAGCAGTAGCATACTGCATATGTAGTAGTAGCAGCAATAGCTGCAAAAATACATCTGAGAAGTCCATCTCAATTCTGGCATGATAGGTGAAGAAGTTCTTATTAGAACAACAACATGGGTGGGGGGAGGAGGAACAAGAAAATGAAATGAGGAATTAAGTAGATCTGAACATCTGTGGAAAATCAGCTGGCTGAAACATAACAGCACTCTTAGCCTAGGGTTGCAAAGATATGCAAAGTGCTCCCTTCCCCTACAATTTGTGAAGAACTCAAAATTTCAAAATCATAGACAAGGCAGATAAAACTGCTGTTTGATTTCAGGTTTAAATTAAGAAAAGTAATAGTTGCCCTATTAGAAATAACATTAATTCTAAAATCCTTTTTCTAAAGATAGGCTTGGGTCAGTTGAAATATGTTTTAAGTGAAAAGACTTCACAGAGAAATTCAGACCAGATGATTTTAGATTGATAGTAGCCAGTCATTCTAAGCTGATACTTTGGGTATTGTTGCATAGCCTCTATAAGCAAAGGTGAGGAAAGGGATTATTCTATGAATGACTTAATTATAAAATCAGGTCTTCCATTAGAACTTTGAGTTATTGGTTCACTGCCCTTGAAAGACAAACTATTTGACTAAATATCACAGCTCTAAATACTAGGTATTTTATTACCCAAAGTCACACTTCTATCAACTGCATTGCTTCTTTTAGGGTTTTATTTGGTTATTTCAGTCTCACAAAACTAATTTCCTCTAGCCCTGACTTCATGCATGTTTTTCATTCAAACTTCAAGACAGTATTTCATTTTCAGCTCATTTTTACTACCTGTTCCACAAACTGTAACTGTTACGAAAGAATCGAAGAACATATAATTGCCATAGTCCATTACGCTATTGCATTTTATTGTCTTTGCACATGCAACCTCAAAAGAGCAGGACAGATGAGATTTTTTTCCTTCTTGTGATTTCAAGTATCTAGGCCAATAGGCTAGACTTCAGAAACCTGGGTGTTAACTTTTCTCTATCAAACATTTTGTGACCTTAGACTGTGCTTACTGTATGCACATAATTGAACTTAAACAGTATCTTTTAGGGTAAAAATCCATATTGAATTCAAATTAAGAAATGTTGATCTATGAACATAACAAAATGGACTGTTGACACAAAATTTCCATGTTTAAATAACTACATGAATATTTTCCATCAAAAGGAAGCCACTGAACCCTTCTAATTATTATTGAGTCTCCAAACTACCAAAGTCTCTGCAGCCTAACTTCTTTTAAGGGCTCAAGTTATTCTCTGAATAACTCCCAGGAGCTCTGGTAGCTAAGCTACATTCCAGTAGCTAAGACATGTCTTAGTTCAAAATCAATATCCTCAGGGCTGACACTACATCTAAGTAAGTTAATATAAGTAAAAAAAGATAAAGTAAATATAAGATTTCATTAACGATTGAGATAACCTTCTGTTAAAATAACAGAGTTGTGTCAAACCTAAACTCAGTTCAGCCTCTACACAGGTATGAACTTCTCACACAACACTTATTCCAGTGTTTGTCTCAGATAATCTCAGGGCTGTTATTTGTATAACCAGTGAAACACAAAACTAGTACATCCTAACCATATAGAAAGCCTTACACACTTTACTTGAGACTTTGAAGCTTGCCTCATATACAGATACAGAAATATTTTATTTCTAATTATGGAGTAAATTAAGCTATAAAGATCCTCAGATGGTCTGTCATACACCTCCCTACACTATGGAAAACTGATTCTGAAGCTACAATTTGGTTGTTTGAATACTGTCAGGAATCAGGATTCCATAACCTATGTTCTATATGCTTCAAGCTGAGTCTTGAAAGATCACATCGTTGTTCTAAGCAGCAATAAAAGAATCAGGCTTTGCAGAAAAAGAGCAATTTGCTCCCAACAGTTATTTTAGTTCCTGAGAACTGATTCGTATTTCTGCATGACATGAGACTGTTGTGGCTGGTTGTTAGGGTGGGCAACTCAAATCCCCAGTTCTAGGTTTCATGTCTCACACTGCTACAGTGCATATAATACAATCTGAAGAATAACTTATTATTAAACTAGACAGTCCTTGGGGTAGTTAACTGCATTAATTCCACTTCTAGACCACCACTTGTTTAGTGACTCAAGGTCAGGCATTAGGTGTCAATTTCTTTTTAAATGGTTATCAGAGTAGACACCAGACCTTGGTGCTTTCACTAACAGAAGCACATACCAGTAGACAGATAACAGTCCATAACAAGGGCAAAAATAGTATTTATCTTAGCATATTGCTAGTGAACTATTTTTGGATACAATCTTCTATGAAAAAAGTACTCTGATTCTTTTTCAATCATGGACAGCAGTTTTATAGGACTATCTGCAAGGAAGATACAAGATATAAAAGATGAATTAACTTATTTAAAAAAAAATCAATAGCTTATTAAATAAAATGATTTACCCTGACTAATTACCAAAGGGCATAGTAGGCTACCACTTATTTGTCATGATTATAGATCCTTGCATCAAGAGGTGAAAGACTATGCTGAATTTTCATAGGTTCTGAACAGAAAGATAGTGCAAATAAATTTTCTTCTGTCAAATGCAAAGACATTTTTCCTTCGTAGTGTGAGACACAGAACTACCAAAAACACCACTCACTACACTGGCAAGGCCTGAGCATGTAAAACTTGCCTTAACCATTCCAACTGTAGCCTATGCTGCTCATTGAATAAACACCGATTTTCCTCAGTCTTGTGGGGAATCCAGATAAGATTTGGCACACACTGTGAAAATATAAACTCAGTGGCTACTTGACCCATAAGTCCAAAGAACACTTTCATACATATTCCTAGGCATGAGACTGTAAGATGAGATTCAACAAGGTTTGTTTCACAAACAGGGATTATGACATGTCTATGAACTCCTTGTTTTGACTGAGCAACCAAGGCACTTTCTGAACAATGCAAGCTGAGATACTCTTGTGGAAGGTAAACTGAATGCTTTCAGCAACAGTACAATACTACCTAGTGGTGGCAAGACAGGCCTAAAAGAAGCAGCATATTTTCTTTCTGGGCCAGATAATCAGGTACTAGGAAGCAGATATCTTTCAAATTAATCCTGAGAAGCTAATCAGGGAACCAGAAATGTAGAGTTACCAAAGTACATTTAAGAGGTTGATGAGTCTGTTGAGACATCTCAAGTCTATTCAACAGTTTTTGTCTTCAAGATTAAGAAGTAAATGAAGAAAAATTCCTTTTTAAAGAACTTCTGGGAAAGACTGCTCTACTAGCAGAGATTTAAAAGGGATTTTTCTTTTTAAGGGACACCTGAGGCAGGAAACAAGAAAAAAATCAAGTTGTGACTTGAATAAGAAAAGACACCCTTCATTTACAGATTTCAGACCCCCTGAATGATATGAGGCAATATGAGGCCATGCTTCCATAAAATAAACACACTGGTTACCAAACTGGGACAGATAAGTGAAGCAAATCCTACAGATTTTACAGGGGTCATGTCACTTTTTCATGACCGCAGTAACTTGCTTCCATGAGAGAGAGCAGAAGTTTCAGAAAAAGAATCTGCCGAGTGTTCAGCTGTTATTAGAATACCTGAGAGGATGTTTGTACTCAAATGGTGAGATGTACACCACTTTCTGAAATTCATACCCCAGTCAAAGGAGAATAGAGCACAACTACAGAGACTAAAGGAAAAAAGATTAATAATGCAACAGAGATACCACATCCCTTGTATGGGGGAGAGATGATGGCTGCAGCCACAGAATGTACCAAGAAGCACTGGCCACAGCTGGCTACAACATTCCAACTCATCAGAATCTTCCAGCATCAAAGTTTTACAGGTTGTATTTCTTGTGCTTTAAGTGTATTAAAAATATTAAAATTAAAATGATTAATTGGGTATTATGAGACTCATGCATTACAATAGCGAACTTGTATCATTAAAGAACTTTCTAGGCATGTAGTATGTCATAGAATTGCTTAGCAGTGAAACACATTTCTAAAAGCCTCTACATAACTATCACGGAGAAAACCTGCTTGATACACACCATTTTACCTCCCATGATGGACCAAAGCGTCAGCTGTTCCTTTATACTCCTCAAACATTTTTCTTGATGGGTCCCCTACTTCCTCAAACATTTTCCTACCTGTCCATCACTGTCCTTGATAACCAACAGCACAGGTGTGTCTAATCCCATCATTGTTCGATACAAAGTCTTCAAACTCATGCCATGCTTTGCAGTACTGTAGACAAGAGTCCATGGATAGCCAATAGTCCGTGGTGGAAGAGACTTCGTGAGCTATCAACAATAAAGTGACAAACCTTTATTTAATATATGCTTTATAGTTAAGAAGGTATTACCAGTAAATGCAAGCAGATTATGTTCTTCTGAACTACTTATAAGTGGCTTTAAAAGCTAGTTTAAAACTTCAGACTAAACCTGAAGTTTCACATGTGTATTTTCTACCACTGGTCACTCAAGCAAGCATCTTTTCCCACCTCTACCAGTGACCTGCAGAAGATGATATATTAGCTGAAGAATATGGGTTTGTTAAGGTCTCTAAAAGGTTTATCCAAGGACAGTAAAAACACAATTATTCTTGCATAACGATAGCACATGTCCCATCAGAGTTGGGTAACTACATCACTCAAGTCAGCAGGTAACAAGCTGAAGGATAAATGCTGCTTGCTGTCCTGTTCCTGTGCCTTTGAATGCAATGCACAGGAACCCAAAACTTCAATAAACACATTTACGAGATGATTTGGGACCGGACTCAAGAACTGCAGCGAAAGCCAAGATGCTTTCAAGGAAGAATGAAAGAAGGGCAAAGACACAGACAAGAGTTGTCCTGGTGTACTGAAAGCTAGAATTAAAAAAGCACAGTGTTTTAGCTATGAACTGTGCTCTGCTTAGACACACATAGGTCTATGGTGCTGGATGGGATCCACCCAAGGAAATGGAGCAGAAGTGCTCTGAGACACCTTCCACCATTTATTTATCTGTAGTCCAGGCTAACTGGGGAGGTCCCAGTTGAGTGGAGGTTATAAAATGTGGTGCTCATTCACAAGATGGGCCAGAAGGAGGATCCCAGGCACTACAGGTCTGTCAGCCTAACTTTAGTGCCAAGAAAGGTCATAGAGCAGATCATCTGGAGTGCCATCACACAGCATGTGCAAGACAACCAGGGGATCAGGCCCAGCTAGCATGGGATCATGTCCTGCTTGACAAACCTGATCTCTTTATATGACACAGAATGACTTGCTTGGTGTATGAGGAAAAGGCTGTGGATGTTCGTTTGTCTGGACTCTCTTAAAGCCTTTGACACCATTTCCCACAGCATTCTCTGAGAGAAACTGCCTGCTCATAGCTTGGACAGGTACACTGTTCACTGTGTAAAAAACTGGCTGGATGGTCAGGCCAGGAGAGTGGTGGTGAATGGAGTTAAATCCAGCTGGTGGCTGGTCACTAGTGGTGTTCCCCAGAGCTCAGTGTTGGGGCCAGTCCTGTTTAATGGCTTTACCAATTATCTAGACAAGGGCATTGAGGGCAACCTCAGCGAGTTTGCAGATGGGCAGGAGTGCTGATCTGCTGGAAGGAAAGAAGTCTCTGCAGAGGGATCTGGACAGTCTAGATCAATGGGCCAAAGTCAACTGTATGAGGTTCAGTATGGCAAAGCAGCTGGAAAGCAGCCCAGCAGAAAAGGACCTGAGGGTGCTGTTTGACAGCCATCTGAACCAAATCCAGCAGTATGCCCTGGTGCCCAGGAATGGCATCCTGGCTTGTCTCCCTTTACTGGGAACTGGTGAGACCATACACCTCACGTACTATGTGCTGTTCTGGGCCTCTCACAAAATGAAAGACAGTGAGGTGCTGGATTATGCCCAAAGGAGGGCAGTGAAGGGTTAGGAGCACAAATCTTACGAGAGGACCAAGGGAGCTGGGGTTGTTTAGCCTAGAGAAAAGGAGGCTTGAGGGACCTCATCACTCTCTACAGCTACCTAAAAGGAGATTGTAGTGAGGTAACAGTTGGTCTTTTCTCCTGGGGAACAAGCAGAAGGACAAGAGGAAATGACCTTCCATTGTGCAAGTGGAAGTCTGGGTTGAACCAACTTAGGAAGTATTTCTTCAGTGAAAGGGTTGTCAAGAATTAGAACAAGCTGACCACTGAGGGACACCACTCATAAGTAAGTGCTGGGGCTGGTACTATCCTACGTCTTTGTCGGTGGCATGGACAGTGGGACTGAGTTCACCCTCAGCAAGCTCGCTGATGACACCAAGCTGTGTGGGGCAATTAATGCACTGGAGGGAACGGATGCAGTACAGAGGGACCTTGACAGGCTTGAGAGGTGGGCTGATGCCAACCTCATGAAGTTCAACAAAGCAAAGTGCAAGGTCCTATAGCTGGCTAACAGCAATCCCAGGCACACTTACAGGCTGGGTGGAGACATGATTGAGAACAGTCCTGAAGTGGAGGACTTGGGGGTGATGGTTGATGAAAAACTCAACATGAGCCAGCAGTGTCTGCTCACAGCCCAGAAAGAAAACCAAATCCTGGGCTGCATCAAAAGCAGATTGAGGTAGGTGATTCTCCCACTCTACTCTACTTAAGTTGGGGCTGTTGAGCCTGGAGAAGAGAAGGTTGCAGCATGGGGACCTCACAGCAACCTTTCAGTACCTGAAGGAGGCCTACAGGGGAGCTGGGGAGGGACTCTTCATTAGGAACTGTAGTGAAAAGGACAAGGAGTAATGGGTATGAATTGAAAGACAGAAAATTTAGATTGGCTATTAGGAAGAAGCTATTTAATCGGAGGGTGATAAGACACTGGAATAGGCTGCCCAGGGAGACTGTGGATGCCCCAACCCTGTCAGTGTTCATAGCCAGGTTGAACAGAGCCTTGATCACCTGGTCTAGGGGGAGGTGTCCCTGCCCATGGCAGAGGGGGTTTGGACTAGATGATCTCTGAGGTCCTTTCCAAGCCCTTAACACTCTGACCAGGAAAGCAGTTGAGTGACAAACCCTAGAGGTATTTAAAGGATGTGTAAGACATGGCACTTAGGGATATGGTTTTGTGGTGGACTTGGCAGTGCTGGGTTAACAGCTGGACTCCATGATCTTGAAGTTCTTTTCTAACCTAAACAATTTATTTTATTCTATTTAATATTACACAAGGTCTTCCTACCGGTGTGTTTTACACTACAGTCATAGCATTTGTGATACATTATTGTACAATAGTAAAAAGTGACACATCTAAGTTAATACCTTTTCAATTTGTTCTGGCTGTAGTAATTCGCTGGGATCGCTAAGATTTGGCCGGAATGCTTCAGGCTCCAGGTCTGTTTTGATATTTGTTGCCTGTTTTGAATTGATATCTTCTCTTGTTGTTATCTACAAAAAGAACAGGAAGTTAATAAGTATTTGCAATTCTATTAGCAGGACAGAAACTTCGCAGGTTTAAAATCATGCAGTTATCAATTCAGTTATGCAAATCCTTCAAAAGTTAAGAAATCCATTAGATTTGATCTGACCTAGACTTCCACTGCTTCCAATAGCAAGCTGGTACACAACTGTATGCCAACAGTAACTTCCACAGACACCTACTCAGAAGAAAGCTACGGTTTTATGCCAAAACAGTGAAACAGATTTCTCATACACAGCTGAAAGGCTTCAAATGCTTTTCAGAAGCTACCTTATGAAGTTCTTGCATTTTAATACTAAAATAGCAATTTTAAAAAAAAAATTTTAAAAAAAAGGCAGAAAGGAATTAAAATTTGAACATGCACAATTCTCAGGAGCTTCTGAATCAATACTCTTTTACTTATGAAGTTTTTCAGATATGCAGCAGACACCTGGAAAGACTGCTGCCATGTATTTTGAGCAAACCATTTGAATGGAGCCTTTAGAGTAATTGCTGCTCCTCTCTGGCCTGCCAGAGTACTTACAGGAATCAAAAAAGAAAGAATTGAGAGGGGGAATTGAGGGGAAAGCAGCAATAATACTTAAGCTGCATAGCAAGCTTTGAGGTCTGGCAAAGATGAACTATGCACAAGGGTCCTCTAGTAGTTTAAAATACCTGACCTATATATCTTCCCTATTGAGTTGTTGTAGATACCATTTAGTGGAGGCAGCAGAAGGCCATAAAATTCCTCATCAGGTATCATAGTTCACAACACCTTCTTACCCTTGTCAACATTCACTGGCACTTACAAGTTAAGGTGCCACATCTTGATAACAAGAATAGCTGAGATCCAAACAGATTTCCATCTATAAATCCTGCTGCAGGGATATTTAAAACTTTCTAGGGATAGTGATATCTGACAAAGGAATAGGACAGAGTCAAGAAGTTGGCAAGATAAGCCACCACAGCAAGACTTAATAAAATGTTGAGAGATTTATTAAAGAAAAAGCCCAAACACCTTAACAAGAATAAGTGCATCTGAATAATTTATCAGCCTTAAACCAAGTTTCACTGAAAGCCAGACTGTCCAAACTAAGGCCTGAATCCTGAAAATTTCTAGAAAATATCTGCCAAAACCACTTGCCAACTCCAGAATAACCAGTGTTTGCTATATCACTCATACTCTAAACATGCAGGACACAACTATAGCATTTCACGGTATCACCATGATAAACTCTGCCAAACTTCCGTGAACTTCCTTAGTTAATGAAAGAAAACTCTGAAATACAGATAGGAATATTTAAACAAATACACCCGAGTCATCCCCCCCAAAAGACATCCCTTTCCTCTCCCTCAAGATCTATGAAAAAAGCTGCTATCACAAAGTCCTGTTACTTAAAAATAGGCTTATAAAGTCAAAGTATCAAAGGATATTCACACAATAACCCAATTACAGTATTAATACTTAACTCAAGAAAAGGTATGCTTAAAGTGAGTATCAAGCAAGCAAAAAGCTCAAGCCTTCCTTCTTTCAACAGAAGGTAACAAGCATTTTCAATGCAAACTATGCACTAATTTCCATAGCACAGCAAAAAAAGTATGCCTTTATCCATATAGCTTCATGTACAAAAAGATGACCCACATGCTGTACTAGAGTGCTCTCTCTAAAACTCTATTCATAGAATTTCATAGTCCAACTCTTTTCCACCTTAAATGCCTTTCATCCACCATTCACTTTCATCCACTGCTTCAACTCCAGGTAAGTCCAGGATGTTCAGTTGTACAGCAGAAAAGCTTATTCCCTTTGTTATTCTTTAATTCTGATTAAAGGCCACCATGCAAAAGATGAATAATTTGGATTTCAGTGTTGTGGAGGGCTGTGGATTTCTTGGTTTAGCTTTTTTTATGGATAGGGCTTTTTTTGGTTGGATATTTTGCCTTTTATTAGTATTTGTAGAAGCAGTCAAAGATAGTGTCTTCAAAATTACGTTTGACAGAACATCGTACAGCTTCAAAACTTGCAGATTTATTTTCCACCAAACTTTGACAGAGCAGACTGACCTATAGCCAGATTCCAGAGGCTTTAAAGATTAGAAACTGCCACACTGTCTGCATCACATTTGAGACCACAACTCTCAAATGTCCTCAATGCAGACAGTTCACAGGCTGCAGATATTTCAAGCCAGCCTAAACCTTGAGTTTGGGCATTTCAGCTGAAAGGTATTTGGGTTTGAGTTGGCTTTTTTTGTTTGGGGCTCTGTTTCATTTTGTGTGTGAGCGCGTGTGTATGAGTGTTTTTGGTGTTGGTTGGTTTATTTTGGGCTTGGGTTTTTTTTAATGTGTGCATGGGTCTGTTTTTGCTGTAGTTTTTTTTTTTTTAGTTGGTTGGTTTGGTTTTGCCTTTTTTTGCCAAATTTCTGATTTTCCTATAGAAGTGCAGCTTTTAGGTTCATGATTCATGCTCGTTACTGATCTATATAACTGTACTACTTACAAAACATTTTAAAGCAAATAATTACGATTATTAAACAAAGAAGTAACAGAGTTAAGAAAAGGTTTTCTTACGTGTAATTACATAACAGGTAAAAGAAGCCAAGATCCAAGAAAAAAAAACCCCACCCAGAATGACATTTTTTACAGCTTCAGCAGCCAATTACTACAGGAAAACAAAATACTCAATGCCTCTAAGGAGGTCTAAGCTATGCTTTCCATCAGTAAGTCATGTATGATGTACACAGCAACTAGCAATTTTATAACTGCCAAAAATCTAAGAATCACCTAAAGAGAATGCAAATATCAGCTTCAGTCTATATCAACAGACCTTCAAAAATCCAAACTCCTTCCAAAGTACTGTTTTGCGTGCATGTGTATGACCTTTGGCATATTGAACTGCCTCAGTTACCTGCTTTTTATAATGGGAAAAATACTTACCTATTCCACAGAAGTTGTGAAGCTTCATACTTGCCAAGTACTGTGAGATTCTTGAAGAAAGATTCCTATACAAAATTAAATACGCATGCAACAAGGTTTTGGATTCTTCACCTGTTTTGCATTCTTTTTAGGAAAGCTTCTATCTAACACAATACACCAGTCTAAAGTGGAAGTTAAAAGACAACACTGCAAGTTGAGCAGTAGTGAGAAATTTGTGAATTCTGAAAGAAAATTCCTGCGTGAACAAGGTGGAAGTAGTAATTCCATCATAAAATTACCAATTCCATCATAGTATGGCACAATTAAATACATCCAAACCGAAGGAATTTTCTGCTGGATCCTTGTAGTGCTGTAGACAAGACAAACCCACTGAGTGCGGGACTTGCCCTGATCCAAGACACTACAAAGAAAGATGTTTTAGTATCTGTGGATGGGGTTTAAACTACTGAAGAGGGCACCTGGAGACGTCTGCAGAGTGTGCGCAGTTCTTCGCTATTTAGAGCATCGATCCTGCGGTGATACTCAGCCACTGACACTACCTGAATATGGAGACAGGAAGACAATAATTCCACTGACAGTTGAAGAAAAGTAAGAAGGTATGAAAGAAAAAATTGGAGGAGAGTAATGAAGGGAAAATGTGCAATGACAAACAAGAAGGACTGAAGGATGTTTGTTTCTGCAAGGACAATGCACATAGGTGATTTCAGACACATGAGTAAACACAGCAAGATTATGAAATAAACAGTAAAGGCACTAAGCAGTCAGGTGTATCTCACTGCTCTAGGATGAATACAGAACTGATACAGGAGTGCATAAAGTTACCAGTAACAGGATGCTAAATTACAAGTCAATCTGAGTTGCATGCCTTAACCCAAACTCTTCAGCCCAAAGTCTTCTCAAACATTCTTTACATCCAGATTAATGAATCCTGTGAACCTGGTTTGCTTTCCTGGATGATGACTATAAGCAAATCTCAGGCTTCTCAGTAAGTTCTGACTCTATCTGGCAGTGAAGACGCAGCAAAACACAATGTAGTAGGACTACAGTTTAATAACACCCCAATACCATCTTGTAATATCTTTATCCTGGACTTTTGATTCCTCTCCAAAGCTTCAGGAGTTGCTCATCTGACAACACATTCACTCCAAATGGCATCTCCACTTTGGCAGGAGGTATACAGCCAGAAAGTCTTTAGTCAGAAAGCTCTAGAACATGCTGCTCTGGTGCAACAAGCCGGCTAAAGGACTACAACAGTCATTTTGATGTAACTAGAGCAAATAATGTGATTTTGAGAACAACTCAAAATCATCATTTGTATGAAAGCATCTTAAAACAGCTGGTGGAGAGATTAAATGGATGTCCCATGTAGTAAGAATGTATTAAAAACTTCTAGAGCCTACCACAGTGCAAAGGAAGGCAACCACAAGTCCAGCAGCTCCCCATCTACCTGCCCCTACTACAAGGAGTTTGGCCAGATACTCGCCACTGTCCTGAGTACAGAGCCCACAGTCATGCATGACTGGCTCCTGAGCAGCGATGGTTCACTCTACCCCATGCAACTGCAAGGCAAGCAAAAAGGAATACTTGTGACATCCAGTTTTATTATTGAGCAATCCGTAATTGCTAGCACTTGATTTATTTCCATCATTTTTTATTGTTATCTTTAAAAAGATAATGAAAATTGTTGCAAATTGTATCGGTTTGTGCATTCTCAAGAATCAAGTAGCTGTATGCAAAGCTTAAACAATATTCCACTCAAACATGTAAGTGATAGTGTAGTTTCATCCTTTTATTTGCTATGACAGTTCATTGCAAATTACGTTGTTCACACCAGCACCTCATGAACGCAATCCTGAAAAGCAGTAATGTGAGGAGCCTTTGGCCTGGTTGCTTCTTTAAGCTCAGTCCCTATCATGTGTGACGTAGTAGTTAACTTACAGAGGGCCATAAATGTGCACTTACCTAAGGAGATACTTGAAAAAATATCTCAAAATTCCTGAGACCATTATATAATTGCTATTTCACATAGAGGAATGTAGAGTTTTATAAGCAATACCATCTTGCCTTTGACTTTCAAATGCATACTCTGTCATCATCCTGCACCTAGAAACAGCTTATCAACACTTTCACTCAGAGATCAGAATCTGACACACCTTTTGGTATGGGGATGCCTCATATTTCTTGCTTGAGAGAAACATGAATGCTTACCCAAGTATGTACAGCATAATAGCTTGTTGACATGGTGAACCTGTAGCACCCTGTCACATTCCTTGTTTTGAGAACAGAAGCCTGCATAGTGGCAGACCATTGGTATGCAATGACAAACATCATAAACAGCATGTCATAGAATGTCAAACCAGCCACAGGAAAATCAAAGGCAAGGAATCCACCCTCTCAAACCCAGAGCCTGTTTTAAGTGTACAGTTCATCCTAAATTCTGCAAATAAACCACAAGAAACTGTCTCAAGGTTATCCACTCATCACTGAACTAGGCTTTAAATGAGTAAATTAAGATACCTCAATGGTTCAGACACTGTACCTGGACCTTCTTATAGAATGCCTGTGATTTAGGTCAACATGCTTTATTTTTGCTTTGCAGCAGACAAGAGTATGTACTTTGTGATTAAATGAGCTACAGAATCTTTAAGTCACATATGTCTAAGTTTACTAGCAACTACCTTCTACAGCTCCATTCAGGAATTGAGATGTATCTTGAAAACAGCCAGCATTTTGTCCCTGCCAGGCTTGAGGGCACTGTTTTGAAATTTTGGCAGTAATGTTAAAAGTTTACTCTTCTTTATAACCTGATTTAATTCATAGTCTGCTTATGCTGCTTCCTCTTCCATCAAGACTTCTTCGTGCTCCTTCCTTGTAGTCATACTGATCTTCTATTCTACTTTACCAAGCTAAATAAACCAGTGTTTCCTCCCCTCTACTTGCCCCCACATCAGCTGTCTGTTCTGATCATTCCAGGAGCTACTTCTACCTCATTCTGCTTTGAACTTTCATCCTTAAACACAACTTAGTCTTTCACATGGTATTAGAAATACCTGGAAAGCAAAGTATTTCATTTGTGAAAGCCAAATGTAGATTCATATTCATTTGTTGGAATGTGGTTTTCAGTACAAAACATTTCTTTCTAACAAAATTCTTTCATTTTTGCACAAGTAGCAGTGGATGACATTTGTCTGTATTTCACCAAGGCTCTTGCTTTTATTCTATAGTAGCCTTGCAATCAAATCTGTTGTGTATAAAATGTGTAAAGAACAAAACTGAAAAACTGTCTGGACCACTAGGCCCAAAGGGCTGACATTATCAATGGTTAAGAACTGGAACAGGTTTTCCAGGGAGGCTGCAGAATCTTCACTCCTGGAGGCTTTCGAGTTTGACTGAGCAAGGTCCAGGGCCAACCCAAACAAGGGCTTACATTGAAGTCCTTAAAGTATAGAGCAAGGCTTTCTAAGTTCTAATACAGTTCAGATCCTTACACAGAAATTGCCAGATCACCCAAAATTTTAGTAAGCTAAGTATTATTCTGCCCAGGATTCAAGTGCAAGTCTACCCAGATGAGTTTGCTATGTGCTTTATTTACTGAACTCTCTTCACTCTGCCATATCAGCATCCAGTTTCCTTGATACCCAAAGCTATGTTATGAGGATCAGGAAGTGTTCCTGAAGGACACTCTACTCTCTCTCTAGTTATTTGCTGCTGCCAAAAGAACGTAGGAAGAAAGAAAAACAGCTAAACCTCTCATGGTTAGTCAGGACACTGGCTAGAATAGACCAAAATGAATAATATGTATAGCCAGGATATTAGTGTGCTTCAGAGCAAAAAGGGTTCTGCTTAGGGACTTGAAACTGCCTACCACAGGACAGTTTCAAGGGCCAATTAAGTTTGAAAAGACATGGAATATATCCTTAAAGATATAATAATACCTGCTCTACTCATTGATGAGAAAACATGGTATGCATAGTAGGAGTCTTGTAGCATGACTCTTTCAGCTTGATCCTCCACACTATGTGAGTTAATCACTTAGCAGAACACCCAACAGTTTCAATGTTTAATTCAGTAAGTCAGATTGGTGGTTTGCATACTAATGATTCAACCAATCAAGAGGCCTAGGATTCTCCTTTTGGTGAAACTCCTGCTTCTAAACCTTGTTTTCCTGAAAATATGTCAAGTATAACTAACTCTTACAAGCAATGCTGCCATACACAGTGAACAAATTGGAAACCAAAATTCCAAATACAGAACTTGCTTTGTTCTTCAACAACACACATGCAAATGCAGTCAAAATTGTTTGATGCAGATGGTGACACATCAGCCCCTTCAGCCACTGCTATTGGCTGATGTAAAAATGAAACTAGTGAGGGACTACTCCGTTTAACAAGGCCACCAGTAACACACACACACACCCCTAATACCTGTTTGCTAACAGGGAGGTTTAATTGCTGCCCTCAAAACAAACATAGCTAAACTTTCAGAGTTAACAAGTAGCTGAAATGGTCTCTTTCAAGAAAGGGAGTGTTTTATTAGAGTTGAACAGTGTTTCTGAAAGATAAGAATGGATAAAGCTTAACAGTATAACTGGTTATCTTCAATGTAAGTTATCTTATACCCTCATTACCAAGTCTGAATATGAAATAAAACCCCCAAGTATTAAGAAAGAAAATCTTAATATATTGGTGTAAAATCAGGTGAACTGTAAGCTTCATGAACATTAATTCTTGAGATTAAAAAGAGAGTCTCACCCTTAAAATTCCAGGATATTTAATTGAAAAGAAAAGCCACTGTAATTAAATCAGGTCACTTACAAAGTTACCTCAGAATATCAGCCCATCTCCAACTCAATAGTAAACAGGGAGCGGGAAGAAAGGGTCAAACCTTTTCTAAAGGATGTAAGTACCATCCAACACATATAAAAGGTGCATTTGTGAACCGAATGCTGCTATGAATACTTTAAGAGAAAACACTAACTTCATTTTTCAGACAAATTGAGTTTCCTTCCAAAAATGTTACACACTGCTTGAAAGAAAACAACATTGAGCTAGCCATTTTAAGCAGAGGAGAGGGACCAGAGAATCACAGCAGTCCGCTGGTTTGGCTGGCAGTGCGGTTGTCTCTCAGTATTTTTAAGGCTGACCCTCTTGGAACTGTTCTGAACACCAGGGTGTTTTCCCGAGCAGACACAAAAATGCTGAGTACGTCACATGACAGCAGCATTCTCCCTCTCTGACCTGTATTGTCCTCACAGCTTTGTGGGATGAATTGTTCAGTATCTGCCTCAAAGTGCTCTAAGCCCACAGCAACTGTACTAAGCTGTAATTAACATATACTGAAGATAAATGAAAATATCTGCAATAACCAGAATTAATAAATGAACTTGAGAAAAAGGCAATTAAAGCATGCAGCACACGAAGTGTTACACTGAGTCTGTAAACCTTAATAACAAGCTATATTTTCAAGACATGAGAAATCACTAATTTGAGAGATTATAATGCCAGCAAGAGAACTAAATTTAACATGGAAAACATTAAACAAAGTTTAGGATGTTTGTGCAAAGGACTAAGAAGCACATTTAAGAAAATTGCTTTCTTAAGGAGGCAAGTTAGGCAATTTTATTCATTTTGTCCAAAGAAAAAAGATCCCTAGCAGCAAGATCAATTAAACCCAGTCCCTTTAGAAAACAATTTAAGGAACTTTCAGCACCAGCAAGCACAGAAACCAGAAGTTCAGTTGCTGAAGCCACAGCACCACAGCAGCTGTTCCAGCGGACAGCAGGCTGAGCAAGGTTACATCTTGGTTCTGATACTGCCCTGCAAATAGCCTCTCAGGTATGACAAGAAAGTGTTACACATGCCTAGAAATAAGTGAATCACAGCCCAGTATGGAAATGTTTGTCTCTTATTTCCAAAAAGAAAAAAGATCAACTTCAGATTCCACAGATCATAAAAAACATACAGAGAATATACAAGCCTCAAGTACTCATTTTCTTTCTTTCAACTTCTAATCAACTTTTACAAATATTCATCTGCTACTCTACTTTGTCTGCATTTGTAGGCTTAATAGTTCATGGTTATTAAAAATACAAACAATATAACAATTCAATGGAAAATCTAGAATCATAGAACGGTTAGGGTTGGAAAGGACCTTAGAGATCATTTAACTTCAACCCCCCTAGCATGGGCAGGGAACCTTCCATTAGACCAGGTTACTCAGAGCTCCATCCAGCCTGGCCTTGAACACTTCCAGGGATGGGACAGCCACAGCTTCTTTGGGCAACTTGTTCCAGTGCCTCACCACCCTCACAGTAAATAATTTCTTCATAATATCCAATCTAAACCTACCCTCCTTCAGCTTAAGGCCATTCCCCTTTGTTCCATCACTACATGCCCTTGTGAAAAGTCCCCCTCCAGCTTTCTCATAGTCCCCCTTTAATTACTGGAAGGTACTATAAGGTCTCCCCTGAGCCTTCTCTTCTACAGACTTAACAGTCACAATTCTCTCAGCCTGTCTTCACAGGAGAGGTGTTCCAACACACAGATCCACTTGATGGTTCTTCTCTGGATTTATTCCAACATGTCTACAATGGAACATCTAGTTGAGGTATGATGCATAAACCCTAAATTATTTAGGACAGTGGGTATGGCAAATACCCATCAACAAGAAAAGATTCTAGGCTTAGTGATGTGTGTAAGAAAGTACTGGATTGCACTTTGCTTTTTTATTATTAAAACAACTCCGACCATTAGTTCACTCTATTACTCTAAACCAAAACTTACTATGGAAATCTGACTTTTAAACGATCTCTGTAGTAGTATCATGGGAATGATGCAACCTCGCATTTCCAGCATCCACAGAGAAGAAGTACTATTCTAGGCTTAGTGATGTGTGTAAGAAAGTACTGGATTGCACTTTGCTTTTTTATTATTAAAACAACTCCGACCATTAGTTCACTCTATTACTCTAAACCAAAACTTACTATGGAAATCTGACTTTTAAACGATCTCTGTAGTAGTATCATGGGAATGATGCAACCTCGCATTTCCAGCATCCACAGAGAAGAAGTACTATGTTCTCACCCCTCGCATTTCCAGCATCCACAGAGAAGTACTACGTTCTCACCTTTCACATGTAAGCCAAAGAACTACAGGCATTAGTTTACCAACTACAGTTAAGCAATAAATCCAGAATCTCAGAAGTTGTGCAAGTCTCAAATCATTCATGCTATTAAAACCAACACCTCTTTAATTCCCATTGCATATTAATGTCTTAAGAATATAAAAGCCAAAGATCAGTTTTCATTGATTTTGTCCCCTTTGGCTATACTGCCTATCCAAGCTCTGCAAAGCACTTGGACAAGCATTCCCAAATAAGGCAATCCACCTTTTGTTCTCTTGCATTGTCTCATGTCCTTTGTCTGAAATGCTATGACAGGAGAAATCGCTGCCTGCATTTTTGACATTCTAGAAACTTACTGACATCTCTTGTATTGCAGTGCAATGAAGAGACACAGTAAATACCAAACATATAGTAAAAGGTAGGAAACTAACAGTACTGGCGTTTTAAAGGGGGACTATAATGCACTGGTTAGTCACCAAAATTTTGATCTCTTATCCCGGGAAAGTATCAATCCCCTAACAACACTCAGCCCAAATTAACTCTATCACCAGGAAAATAACACGGCCTTTCAGGTAAATAATCCTGAATGCTTCAAGCTAGCATTCTTGTTTTATTATATCACTCCATTTGATCCAGCAATTATTTCATGCACATGAGTTTCCATCCAAATTTCAGAACAACCACTAATGAGAGATTTAGTTAGAGACCTGTACACTTCATAGATGCTGACAGTCTCTTTAATTCGCTCTCCACTTAGTTTTGCATAATGCAGAATCAATTATACCAATAGTCCTTCCCTCTTTTGTGTGAAATGGTTATGCTTGCACATTAGCTTTATGATCATTCATTGAAGAAAAACCCAACTCAAGAAGAGAGCATGTCTTGCTGACACAGGAACATTTTAAAAACATTTCCCTCCGTAGACACTTCTTGACCTACTTTTTCTGATTTGACTTCTTTTACGTGTTAAAATATCCTGTTCTCTAACCCTCTCACTGCAAGGGTGATCATCATCCTCAGTCTTCTCTCACAGCTCTTCTTAAGAGCTGATTAAATATTACTTTTATAAGCACAGCTGGACTCTGGCTGAAGTTAAGTGTTGGTTCTAAGGGAAACAGTTAGAAGAAGGGACACTACTACTTTTTTAATTATGTGGGCAAGATATAGCTATTTATCTGTGAATATAGGTATCTGTTAGAAAACACATTCTTGGTAAACTTCAGATATATTTTACACCACTACAGAACACATTAAAGTAACATTTTATTTAATACAGGTATTACATCTCCATTCTGCACTTCACTACCACAGAGGAAAGTTAAAAGTCTGTTACTTCAAAAATGTTTTATTAGTTAGGAACACATACTCACAGAACCAATTGTCCTAACAACACAATTTCATATGCTGCAAGCAACCTGGCTACAGATAAAGTTAAAAATAAAATAAAGACAAATAATAATAATAATAAAAAAGATTATAAAAAAAAAAACACAAACAAAGTAAACAGCTCCTCAAGAGAAGTATGCACCAAAACCCAGAGATCTGTAACCCTTAAAAAGCTAGTAAAAAGCCTGTTAGAGGCAAAGACTAAGTGAAAAATATATTTCAGATCTACCAGTGAGTAAAAGCACAAACAAGTATATTATCAAGATAACTTCCTCCCTCCCCCAGAGATGTTCCTGTTTTGCAAGTCTCGGTGAAAAGCATTTCCCTTCCATAGTACTACAAATTAAATACTACTATAAAACGTCTGTCTGGAGAAAACAACACTGAGAAACTTCCACTTACTTTCATAAACCTAATAAACTGCAAGACCAGTCGTATCTGTCCTCCCCTTCATTATAAATGTAAGAGTAGGACTACAGCACACCCGTCTCCATTAACTTAGAACTATTATTAGACCTTCATACACTTGAATGACTTCTGAGAAGGTAATGGTAACTCAGGAGATTTACACTTCTCTAATTAAATGCCAGTGCAAACTCCTGTTCTCAGTATTTAGCTCTAAATCACATTTTTTGGTGAAAAATACATTACTACAAGGAAAGAACAAACCTACCTCAAAACTGCTGAATCCCTTAATTCTCAAAGTCGTTTCTCTTATCTAATGCCGACAGAATACCAGCATTAGGGTTGTGTGCCAAAGGTAACGAAAATTTGTGACCCAGAATTCTGTTTACACATTCAAAATTTAAACTTCCAGAAACTGTCTCTGCACCACAACATTTAAAGATTGCAATAATGAGAATGGACATACTACACTGAAAATTACCAGAGTGCATTTACGATTAACTGGTTGGTGCTTTCTTCCCTTCTTCCCATACCAGAGATGAGACATTTCCCTTCTAAAGATAAAATGAGACTAAAAAAGAAAAGTAAACTAAAAATAAAACATGATTCAAGGCTGTTTGAAAGCATTCTCTGTACCTGCTGTCAGTTCCAGGCACAGGCAGAGCCCCGACACGGTGACAGGATAGTTTGCTAGACGCTCACATTTGACTGACAAGGCAGGGAACAAATGAGCGACTGCACAGCAGGGGGATGTATCGCAAATGATGACGGTACCGAAGAAAGGTTTCCTGTGTTCAAGTGTGGTTGCAGAGCACTAGTTTGTTGAAAAGGCTAAAATATTTAAAGATACAGAACAACTTAATTGTTCTTACACAAAACTGAAGAATACAGAAATAATCCCCAAGAACTGCTTGAAATATTCTGTTACACCATAAACAAGTTCTAATGGTAACAAATTTGCATTAAATATTATACTTTTTTGCATTAAATAATATAGTAAATAATATTTTTAATAAAATATTAGAAGTCTGTCTTTCTTATGTTGACAGTTGCATATAAAGCCTGTCAGTAATTTCTTAAGAGTCCAGAACCAGTTAGAAAAATGGTCAGTGAAGATAGAAAATATTTTTAAAAAGGTTTTAAAGCATTCAGGAACTTTTAGCCTTGCAGCATTTTCAGCTTTGTAAGCTACAAGAAAATTAATCCTTTTGATAAGCTAAACCTGCTGCATGGGTTAAATGCTCGTTCCAACAATAAATTATTTTTTGGAATCCTGATTTATTTCCCCCCCGCTTAAGGATGTTTATTTAAACAGGCATGTGCAGCAGTAATATGCACAGCAACCCTTTGAGAGCTTCCTTGTAGTAGAACTTGGAGGTTCTCCCTGCCCCCTTCCCCCTCCAAAGACACAACCTTAACCCCCCCAAACCTCCCAAAGCAAAACAAAACAAACTAAAAAAAACCAACACACTGTTCAGTGCTCCAAGCTCTACACAAAAGCATTTAATAGGCCAGGACAGCACCAGGCAACATCACAACAATGTTAAAACACTGCTCACTTGTGCTGTTGCACTGTAATCTAAAAGCCAAGATGTTGAAGTAGAGGAAACTAGAGTCAGAACTTGTATTTTATCACAGACCACGTACTGGAATATCTCACCCTGCACTAGTATCTGACATTCACATGGATAAAATGTTTTTCTTTTCAGAAAAGCTCCTCAGCAGCTCTTAACTCTAAAAGTAAATTTGTTCTAACTTATGAGAACTATTAAGGTAGCAAGTCAAAACATTTTTATCACTGGGACATTGAAAGCTGGGATTTAGGAAACTCAAATATACAGTAATACACTATGTACACAGTCAAATGCTGTAAGATTCAAACAATAAATCATATGCCCATTTATATATTTGGGTTTGCTTTCAAATAGTAAGTGAACTAATACTGAGGTAAAGCAAGAACAAAAAACAGACAGTCTTAAAACCGTTTCAAATGGGAATTACCATCAATATAAAAATAAAATACAAGCTACAGATACCACCCCCATTCCCCTGCCAAGTCTGGGAAATCTTAAAGGAATGGAGAATATGCAGAAAAACTATTTCAAACCTTCTCTGGATGTGAGACCTCTAAGCCAAAAAGCAAAAGCCAGGCATGCAACTAACACCCCCACAGCCTATTTTAGCTGTGGTCTTTTCCCCCACTCAGAAAAAACCCTCACTTCCTCCCTAATAACACTAACAAACACACTGTTTCTCAAAAACCGGGGGAGGACAAAAGGAATCTGACTTATCAAACAATTTTTTTTGTTCTAAACATTTAATCTTAAACAACTCAAACAATTTGCTTCATAGTTTTTAGCTTCTCTCTAAATAAAACTGGCTTTGTCCAGAGCTTTTCAAAAGGATTTTGAGAACTTGCTCAAAAATAGAGCAATACACTTCTTTGTTAGATCTGACAACTCACTTTTTCACTTAATTACAGCTGCAAACTTTAATGGGAATAAATGCACTAACTAGTAACCCTCTCCATCAGACCCCCTGGCAGGCTGTTCTGTGCTCGTGACAGCAGCAGCCCCCACCAGCTGCACCTGCCCTGCAGCTGGAGCATCTGCTGGAGGAGGGTGGTGCAAAGCAGGGCAGGAGAGCCTGAGCAACACTAAACAACAGTGCAGCCACAGAAGTGGCAAAAGCTCTCCTGTGACTGAGCTCCACCCCAGTCCCACACCACCTTCCCTCCCAGCCCCTCCACCCTTCCCACCACAGACTGGTGTAAAATATGCTTCTGTTAGTCACAGAAAGAAGCTCACATGAGCAGTTTGACCCCAACACCATCCCTTAAAGATGTATTAACTGCCCTTTTATTCCTTCATGTATTTGTACTATTAATTTTAATCAGAACCTCATATCCTGTTGCAATTAATGTAGGCTTTGCCATAAGTGTTCTTAATTAAAAGATTCTAGGGAGTAGTATTGGCTCAGACCTGACATATGTGCACAACAGCAACAGCGAACACTTCACAGCAACCACCTACTTCATATCTAGACAACAGAGCAACAGAAAATGTATCTAATTACACCGAATGGTAACTTTGTTATTGTCATTGTTAGTTTGTAACCAACCTGAAGCCTCTACAGAATCAATGTGCCTAATCCTTTCAGTAACTGTAATTCATTGTGATTTCTTCTAGCAAACTAATCTGTCTCAAAAAATACTAAAGTAGCAGCAGAGAAAAAGGATAGTGCCAACAAATTAAAGTACTATTTATGAAATGTCTTATTTCCACTCCAAATTGATGAACTCCTTTACACATTTTGCCATACCAGATCTCAAGTTAACAGCTGAGAAGATGCCATAACCCTGAAACCAGATGGACAGACAGACCGTTCTGCATCACCCTCCTGGCATCACCTGGGTGACAGATGGATGGAAGTAGTTCTTTGCAGTTGGATTAGATGGGATTAGCCTGTTTCACTTTACAGCTAACAATGTCCTGATGTCACTGGAAAAGAAAAATTGTGTTCTTGAATTCTACAATCCCGGTATTCAATATTCATGCTTTTTGAGCAATATTACATTAGTAAAAAAGCAATGTATTTCCTATGCCACTTCCCTCTTAAGAGACAGAGGTTAGTCCAGAAGCATACTGGGGGGCAGAGACTGGGGTGCATAATTACTGTTTATTTACAACTTGCTCTTGATTCCACATGAAGCAGCCTGTGGGTGACCAGGTTTTGTGACAGTCACAAATGTGGTGCACTGAAAATAAGCATCCACAAAAGCAGCTCCTGAGATTATGTACGAGGCG